GTCACGGAACGGATGAAGTTCGTATCCCGAGGTACCACTGTATTTAGAAAGCTTCACATACAATAACGTAGACTTCTCAAAGCATCTCAGAGATTCTAAAAGCATTCTTCTCCCCACCCCCATAATGGAGTCTGTTTTTCAGAAATCCTTAAAAGAAGAGCACCATAAAAGAAAGCTGAATGTAATATAAATGGAGTATTTAAGAAATGTGTGTGGTAATACAAGAAAGGATCAGGTCAAAAATGGGTGAATGATCAGCATGAAAAAAATACATTGAGGTTGTTTTGTCATATACAAAGAGTGAATATGAAGGAAAACTGGGAGGTTGAGAAGGTTTGATAGAAGATTCTCTTCTATTGGAGGTTGAGAGAAAAGGAAAGACAGAGAAAGGTAACAATTGGCAGAATTGATGAGACTTTCAGAATGAGAGGGATTTAGAGGAAAAGAGGCATGTGTGAATCACTGAATGCATAGCGAAGTTGCAAGGATGGTTTAGAAGAACAGAAAGGTTTGGAGCTGTTTATTTCCTTTTTCTTATATACCTTTCATTTTCTTTGGATTGTTGGTTTCAAAACCCAGTCAAAGTTGGAAGTTTAGATACACATACTCCTGAAGAAATGAAGTTGACCATTCAGGAGAATGCCATTGTTTGGCCCATCAGTTTTAATCAGGTAGGTTTGATGCATGTTTTGTGTGTCCATCCCTTCAAAAACAACATTAAAAGCAAAGATTCCAAGACCATGTTCTATAGCAGGGCTCTCCAAACTCTTCAGCTCATTGACCCCTTCATGAACTTTCAGATTGTTCGACAACCCCCAAAGTTTATTATATGAAAATAATTTCATAAATAGTACTTTAACAAACAACAACAATGGATAGTCCCATCATCACTATATTGACCACTCTGGGGCACCCTGTTCTATAGTCAAGTTTCCCAAAAAGTATACCAAGCCTTTCATTTCTTTTGTTTGTTAAAAGCTGAGAATTGAATGTTTTTTGCAGATGCCATTTATTTATACCTATTGTTCCCTTCTTCCTTGCAGATTTGGGGAATAATAAAACACTGCTGCTGCTTTGATCATATAATCATAATCCCAACTTAAAATATGTTGATAAAGAAATAAAGTTTTGTTAATAGAAATAGAAACCTCTGCAGGGAGGCATGGAGGGTCAACAAAGCCAAGATGGCATCCACAGCTATGTCACTTAAGCCTTGTCCCTTTGTTTATGCAGTATGAATTGCACGCACAGCACACATTAGAAAAGGTGGGGTATTATCACAGTCATGATTGCCATCTTGACATTTTTTACCTCCCTGTTCATGCTCCTGAACATTTACAAGTATGGGCTTTGGGGCTGAATCCCATTGGAAAGACATAGAGGAAAAACTGGAAGGGCAACAATTCCATAACAAATCCTTGTGTAGTTACCAAATGCTAAAGTCAGGAAACTGCATCATTTTTAGTTTAGCACATTCAACCTTAATGCTGAATATATACTGAAAGAGACTGTAATAAAGGAATATGAACATGCTTTTAAAATTGGAATGAGAAACATCAATAATCTGTGCTATGTTGATTGCACTCCTCTTATAGTGAAAAATACAACTGATCTGGAAGCTCAAGTAATAACAGTCAAGGAACCCTGTGCAAAAATGGGATTACGATTAAATATAAATGAGGCAGTAGGTAGGACAGCCAGCCTAAGAACTGAGTGAATATATTAAAGTGGTGGATAGCTTCTATCTTTTAGATTCCACCAGCATCTTTTAGGTTCCAACAGTAAAGGAACGAGCAGTCAGGAAATATGGCACAGATTGGCACTTTCGTAGGGTAGTAGTTATTCAGATGTTGTGACACGTTATACCTATGATGTTTAGAATCATGCGGACAATGATTTTCCATGTGATTCTCTATGGAAGTAAAAGTTGGACTGTGAAGAAAAAGGATAGAAAGGATGTTGATGATTTTCCATGTTGGTTTTGGAAAAGACACTTAAAAATACAATGGATAACCTGGAAAACAAACAAATGGATCATCAACCAAATCAACCCTGAGTTCTCACTTGAGGCACAAATAACCAGGCCCAAATGATCGTATTTTGATAGATTTCTACTTTTAGGAAAGGTGGAACGAAAGAGAAAAAGAGGATGACCAGCAGCAAGATGGACTTGAATGTAGTAATTTTGAGTGCACCGTTGGAAGACCTGAATGACCAGATTGGTGAAAGATCATCCTTGAGAAGTTTCATCTATTTGATCAATAAGACTCAACACAATTTCATAGCAGCTAATCAATCAATAAATGACTCAATCAGATTTTGGAATTTGGAGGCTATATATATATATTATATATATATAGTCAGCCTAAGATTTAATGTTCATTCTGGTCACATCAGACTGCACTACCTTTGTCTCAGAGGATGACCCAATGGATCACAGGGTTGTCTAGTTCCCAATAAATCTATTCCTAACAAATTAAAGCTAGAAATTACATCTAATACTAATTTACTAGATGCATATTCCTAATATTTCTCATCTGTAGCTCTCCTTTTATTCAGAAGCTCCAGTACTTTAGTTACCTATCATCTACAAAACAATCACTATAAGGCCTAAAGCAGTGATGGAGGAGGAGGAGCACCTGAAACTTTTGCTGACTGCAGTGTCTTGGGGAATACCCTATGATTATCTAAGGTGATAATTATTAAATGCTCATTACTCAAAGCAGAAAAAGATTTTTCCATTCCAATTACATACAGGTATATAACTCCTGAACTGATCAAAGGGAGGGTTAGAATCTCTCTCTCTCTCCATCCATCCATCCATCCATCCATCCATCCATCCATCCATCCATCGATTCAGCAGCCCAGTGTATATCCATTTAGTGGAAGGGTCCGGACTCATAAAGACCATGGCATACTAAACAGCTGAATGATAATGATCAAAGTAGGAGTAGAAGATGTTACATTAAAGGACAATCACCATGCCTGTTGTATGAGAGGGTACTTCTTGTCCCTGAGACTTCTGGTATATTTGCTGCTGCTACCACAGACAGACTGTGTGATGTCTCCTGCAGTGTGTGCCATTCCTGACTCTCTGAAAGTGCAGTACCAATATTATCAGCCAGGTGATGTGATAATTGGTGGGATAGTTTCACAGCTTTTCTCCTTTTCTGAAGGAACAGACTTCAGAACACACCCTGCACCCAAGTGTGATGTTGAACCTGTGTAAGAAAAACCAAATTGTTTTCCATAATACTTGGCTATTTCCTAGCAATGCCACTGATACGCTTTTAGCAACTCTGCATAGATTCTAATACTCCTACATCCTGTTATTCTGATCTTCTGGTGATAGAAAATAGGAGATTGAAATGGTGGTCAGGTCCCCCCAGCAATTTCTATCCCATCGCTCTTGGATTTAACCCAACCGTTTGGCTTAAACTTTAAGCTCCAGCACCGAGCAAGGGGTTGGACTTCTAAATATCCCTTCTAGCTCAATGTTTCTATGATGTTTGCCAGACCTCTTTGTATGCTGAGTTTTTTCTGATTTTTTATCTCTGATGGGATCAAATCAGTCAATAAGACACACTAGATTTGATTGTATGAACTGGGAAAACCTGCATCAGCCCTGGCCCAGTCTTCTATTGCTGAGAGTACTTGCCATTTTATATATATAGCATTTTTTATACCCATAGACATCCTACCCCAAAATCATTGGGGAAAAATCTCTCCAGTAAAGGGTACCTTTCTCTGACTTAGTGAGAGGCCAGAAGCCCCTAGAAGGCAAACTAGAGGAAACATGACCCACCATTGGAATGTTTTAATGCATAATCTAGTGATACAATATTTAGTTTCATCTGCAATGTAAAAGCCCTGTATAATTTTCTGAGCATAAGTTCTCTGAAAATGGACCTCTTCCTTACGGTTCAGGACAGCTGAAATATTGATGAGGATAAGAGCACAGATCCATTACTAAATGGTAATGGTAAAGGTATTCCTTTACTTAAAGGTGAGCTCATTCTAAATGTCAAGTTTTTTGTTCCCCAATATTCTCCAACTGTAAATATGGGTTATTCTAAGGCAGCGTACCTCTTGCAGGAGTAGTGTGGAAATGTCCACAAGATAGAAATTCATGGCTTACTCATCATGTTTCTTTTACTTTAGTGTAATGCTGAAAAAATATCAGCACACCCTAGCCTTGGCGTTTGCTGTGAACGAAATCAATGGAAACAGCATGATCTTACCCAACAGCACCCTGGGATTTCATGTCTATGATAGCCACTTTGATGCCCAGATAACTTATCAGAATACACTGAACCTTCTCTTTAATCAGAAGCCGACTATCCTCAACTACAGCTGCAGCAAGAAGATTCCAGCAGCTGTCATTGGGGGTACTGACTCAGAAACCTCCCTCCACATAGCTAGTATTTTAGGCATCTACAAGATTCCTCAGGTAAGGTGAGTTATACCTTAATATATTTAATATTTATGCAGATGCAATAAATTTGCTTAGGAGCTTTGCTAACAGGTACACGTTATGCACATTTTCTCTATGGCGATGTACCATAAGCAGGTTGATTTGAACAGAAATAATATAGCTTCTTCTAAATTCAATTTGGGGATGGAAAGAGTTTTAAGATCTCATTGCCAGCACCACAAATCATGTACTGTATAACCCTCACTTTGTATGAACGGATAATATGGATATAAGTGGTTCTTGTTTAGAAGGACGGAACTTTGTCTTTCTCAATAGGATTAAAGTTTTACATTCTCACAATGCCAACCGGTATTTCTCTTTAATAGAAGTGACTATCTTCTTTTCCTATTCTCTATTAACTCTATCCTGGTCTTAGCTACTCTCTTTTTTCTTTTCTGACTTCCTCTGTTTTGTTTTGTTTTAACCTATGTAACAGAGGGGGAAATCTATATGCTACAAAGAGCTAGTTTGTGACTGGAACAGCCTGCAGGTCCTATAAACTAAGTAATAACTAACTGACGAAACTAACTAAATGTTTTTTAAAGAAAGTAAAAAGTACTGTGTATAAGAGTGTGCTTCTCCACATCTTGCTTGTAAGGAATGCCCCGTTCGTCAAGAGAAACTCCCGTGACACGTGTGGTTCACAAAAGAG